TTGTTTGGCTCAACATGAGTTCATCACAACTAGCAACAGTCGCACTCATTATGGGGAGAGTAGCAGCAGTATCAAATTGTGATAACTTTATACCATTTGTCATCCATGTTGTTGACAACTTACTGTTGTTGTTCTTTCTATTATTTATGTTGTTGTCGCTGCTAACGTTATTATTTGTATTGCTGTTGTTGCACATTGCAACCCCCATTGCTGTCTTAGTCACTGCCATTGCAGTGCCGGAAGTTTTCACGTAGCTGCAACTACATGATTTCCCAGTAGGGCAATGATAATTGTGATATTGTTGTTGCTGATTTAGTTGCTGATATTCTTGTTGTTGTTGATATTGTTGGTGTTGTTGGTGTTTTTGTTGTCGCTGTTGTAGTTTATTTGTTGGCATTCCATTATTTACAATTGTAACTTCATCGTCTTCCAATTCGTGACTTTGGACCCTAATCTTATTACTGCTATAGTTATTGCTTGGTTCTTGCTGCTGCTGCTGTTGTTGCCGTTGCTGGTGGTGATGCGTCTTTTGCTCATCGTCAACATTGAACATGTAGTAATCTGTAGCTTTCCTGTTTGACTTTAACTTGTGTTTAACGAGCAATTCTCTATCAACATTGTTTTTGTTGTTGTTATTATTGTTGGAAGCGTTCCTGTTGTTGTTGCTATTGCTGTTGTTGTTGCTATTAATGTTATAAGAATCTTGGACTGTATTGTTGACACTTGCACTGGACATTTTTACGGACAATGCTATTCCGTTGTGGCTATTGTTATTGTTATCAGAAATGCTTTCATTGTTGTTGCTGTCAATGTTTCTATTGCTGTTGTTGTTATTGTTGTTCTTGTTGTTCTTGTCGTTGTTAAGCAATTGCTTTTGCTCGTGACTTTTTAATATTTTCATCTCGTTTAGTTGATGTTGATGGACTTTGGTTGTTCGACTTTTACGCCGCAAGCTTATGTTATTGTCAGTGTCAGCTTCATTGTTGCTATTGCAACTACTGTTGCTGTTCCAGATACTATTATTGTTATTGTTGTTGTTATTTTTGCTTCTACTTGTGTCACTTTTGTTGCTATTAGTTTCGGCTGGAACTTTACAATTATATTGCACTGTTGTTTTTAATTGTTCTTGTTGTTCTTGCTGTTGCTGTTGTTGTTGTTGTTCCCCTTCTCTTAGCAAAATTTCTGCAACACTCTTCACCACAGCAACATCATTCACAACAACAGTAACCATCGCATCCTGTGTGTTGCCATTTTTATTAAGTTTTTCTTGGCAATTGTGCTGTTGTTGATGAGTCTTGTGCTCTTGTCGTGGAGACTGACATCGCTGCTGTTGTTGCAGCTGCTGTTGTTGTTGTTGATGCTGCTGTTGTTGTTGTTGTTGCTCCTGTTGACGATATAAGGATTTAAACTTTTTCTTAATTTCTTTGGTTTTAATTTGCTGTTGAAATTGTTGCTGTTCGCACGGTTTTGTTGCAATTGCCATCTTTGGGTGATTATGATAATCCGCTGTGCATTTCCTCTGCTGGGTTGGTGTGCTCTTGTTGCTTTTCACTGTAAATGCAGATAATAGCAAAATATTAAAATTTTTAATTAAAATTGTATAAACTTTTAAATGATAATGTTCAGTCTCGTTTCCATTTTCCACATCACAAACTTTCTATTGAGACTTTCCTGCTATTTACATAAATAAATCTAAGCTCTTGGGTCAAATCAAAATATTTTTGGAATTAACTATGATTGTTGGTTGGATTGGTTTAAATTGCATTGCAATGTGAACGAGGATAAGAATTAAATTAGCTTAGTTTTAAGGACAATTTGGTTATTTTGTTATAAAGTGGAAATGGATTTTATTTGCTTTTTACGATGTCAACGCACTTTCCATTCTTATGTATGAAACTCATTGTTGTCTCGTTAATCGACTGAGCTACCACTAAAAATAAGGATTTAAGGAACAAGGATTAAAAGTCGCTTTATTGTTAAAACTTCAATGACAATTTCAAATTGTTTGTTTGTCCTTTCATATAGCAACTTTTATTATAATTGTAATTATTATTTTGCTTTTATTAATATACTTTTAATTAAACATATTTTATTCATTAAAAATTTAGTTATTATTGGTAATGTCCTCGAATTTTATGTAGGATACAAAGTGTTATGACCTCATACTGTTGCAGTACGTCCTCAAAATCTTTATTATGCAGTGAGAATAATATCGAAAAATAACTAAACCAAAATATACAAAGTTGAACACATTAGATCGACCTATCTGGCAACACTGTAACTGATAACACTGATAAGGAAGATGAAAATGACTAATGGTAAAACGGCTTTAAAACATGAGTCTTATGGAATTTTTGTAATAGAGCAGTTTTTCATATATTTTTTGGTAAAATAAATAGATCCACTTAATATGACAAACCCAGTACTTAAACAAATATGATGATACGGAGCGCGTATTCAGAGGTAATTTAAAAAATCTTACAGTCTTGTTACTATTTTCCAATATGGTTAAGGTGTATTACTGAATGGCTTTTTAAAAAAATTTTTATCGCCAACTTGATACTTCTACCATTGTTGCTTAATAACTCCCTTAAAAAGTAATACATAATAACATGGGTATGCTATGTAACATCACTAATTCAATAAAATATCGAAAATTTTTTACCAATTCCTAATAAGTTGCTGACTAATAACTAATAAGTTGGATTATTATAATTCAAACTGAGAGCCCTTCTATTCTTCTAAGCCCCTTGGTATACATTCTGCTCAAAAAGTACCCGGATTTTGTTGTTTGGTAACTACTCCTTAAGTAATAGACCTTTTTCAAAAATTTTATTTTTGTTATGTTGGTACACCCTTTCTTGCCATCTGTCAATTAGTTTGTTTACAGCAGCTGTTAATGTGAGACTACATCAAGTACATTTAGTGATTTTTACTATGGAAAATTCTTGTTGTACGCGATTTTTTGACCAAACACGACATCACTGTCATCGCTCAGGCACCATATTCGCTAGATCTGGCGCCGTGCGACTTTACCTGTTCCCGAAACTCAAATTGTCCCTTCGTGATAAGCGTTTTGAGCTGATTGAATCGGTAGAAGAGAATTCACCGAAGGAACTAAAAGCCATACCTGCACGGGCCTACGAAAAGTGTATGGACGAGCGTTGGCATATGTGTATCGCTTCAGAAGGAGCATATTTTGAAGGAAATTAAATAAAGCTGTAATAAAATTAAAGTTTGTGTGTTTTATTTACAAAATCCGAGTACTTTTTAAGCAGAAGGTATATATATTACCGGTATCATGCAGCATCAGAAGTAGTGTTTTTTTTTCTTGTACCATAAAAGTGTTTAACGATGAAAGCATGGTAAACTTACCCAAAATTTCTAACATCATATTTTTCTATATTAATAAAGAACCAATGGAGCAATTTAAAATCTGTGAAATGTATAAAATTAAGGACACTGAAGGTACAAATATCTTTCGAATTATGAATTTTTATATCAAAGATTTTTATTCTCTTTAACAAGAGAATATGTAAATTAAATGTGCAATTAAATGCATTCAAATTCTTTACATCTAGCTATTGAAATTTCAACTCTATCACAACAAATTTAATAAATTTTAATACTAATATATATAAGGAAATGTTCTGTCCATATTTGTGGTTTATCTTCTATTTAATATATTTTAATTCAAAGCAAAAAAGACTTCAATAGAAAGAATTGCTTCATATATTGCTTTATATATTATATTTTAATTAAAATAATTAATTAATTTACAAAAATAATGCTACAATTTAATAACAACCCACATATACACATGTGTACTTCTAGCAAAACCGTAGAAGTGCATTATAACTTCACTTTTATTAGTTTCTAGTAATAAAATTTCATTAAGCTAAACAGTTAATTAATAAACTCTCAAAGCTTTGTATCATAAATTTTAATTGGAGTTTCTAAGAATAAAATGTAGTTAAAAGAAATTATCTGCATGAGTTAATTATTATACCATCACGAGTAGTTGAGTAAACAAGTACGACGTAAGTGCAGAACTCCACATCCATGCCAAGGACACTACGCCATTATTGCCACTGCCATAGTTGCCACATGCAATGCATTGCCAAGTCCTTCTTTCTCGCAGTGTTTACACAATTTTAACTTTATTAGAGTTGGAAGTGTCCTTTGCCCTCGTTAGTGAACATCATAAAAATAAAAACTTTTTAAGAAAATAAAGCAAATAATGCTTTTATTCTGATATTTTTTATTTTTACTTTTCATTTACAACGTAAATCTGCTGTTCATGAAACATAGCAAATGAGGGCAGAGCAAGTAACGCGGCAATGATCGAAAAGCAACAACACAAACAGCAATTGTAACACCGGAAGTTGTTACGGAAGTTGTAATAAAGCAAAAACTTCACTTAGTCTTAAGTTGGTAACACTTAGTTTCAAAAAACAAAAACATCAGAAAATATTAAATTAATGCAGAAAATCTTCCAGAAGAAAAACTTTGGATAGAAAAAAATTGGGAACATAAAATACAATAAAGCTAAACAATACACAAGATATAAAAAAATGATAACAAATGTTAAGAAAATGATAAAGAAATTATAATAAACCATATTTCTTCTATACTTAAAGTAATCCGTTCCAAGTAGCCACTTGAACGGATTGGTAGCTATTATAAAACCCCACCCTCTTGAATTTAAAAACTGCAACGATACCAATATTATATTATATACGTATCTGGTAATCCAAATGAAAATTAGTGGCGTATTCAATGGGGTGGATTTGAAGTGCCGAGTACTCCACCCATACTCGGCTATATCGAGATTTGGCCCCCAACTTGCAACAATCGCTACAAAATAAACTATTAATCCTTACTTAACACTATCTAAATACTTTAAGATAATGAAAATAGCTGGCAATCCAAGAATATAATATGGGTGCATGTAAGGGAGTTTCAAGCACTCCTCAAAAAATCATACATATAGAGAATTGGACCTAACTCGGAGCTATTATCATAAAACAAGCTGTTGATGTATGAAACCACTATATGAGTGTGATGCACATATCTGCAATCCAACTGAAAATCAGAAGCATTCCAAGCGTCCAGAAGCATTTACCGATGCGCTAAACTCATCTAGGTAAAGATTTGGCTCCTATCTCTCTGCTACTCGTACCGCTACTATAAAAACATAATTTACAAAAGTCTGATAAAACAAACATGCCCTATGATATACATATATAGCAATCCCAGTATAAATCAAGGGCGCATCAAAGGTGCTGATTTTAGAGTTCAAAGTGCCACTCCCAAGCTCAGGTGCACAGGTTCAGCCACGAAACTAAAGTTATCGCTATAAAACAAGTTCTTAATATATAAAACTTCATTTAAACCAATATTGGCATCTAATATATATATCAGACAAACTATAGGCTTATGCAAGGAAGTGGTCTTGACAACTTTCCATCACAAATTCGTCCAAGTAAGAGTTTGGCTCCCAATAGATAAAGATCACTTCAAATCAAACTCTTGATTTATATAACTGTAAGGATATCATTATGGACGTACGAAATACAACTCTGGGAAGTTAATATAAGTGGCGTATAAAGAGGGGTGTTTCCAAAGTGCAAGTTTCCTCATCCTCCAAACTTGTTTATATGATGTTTTATTTATCAATAGTGAGCTATAGCTATAAAATGCTTTAAATATATTAAATTGTGATGAAACCAATATAAGCGTATGATAGATACATCTGGCAATCTATAGAGGTCCGTATACAAAGGAGTACCTTTGAAAAACTTTCCTTGGGCAATGCTTTGGGTTCAACTCGAAACAAACTTTAAATTTATAAAACTGTGCTAAAATCAAATTAAGATTTGTCTTGAAATGCAAACACACCCCTCCTCTCCCAGCCCTTTGCAGCGAAAGTTACAGTTGTTTTCAATTAACTTTTTTTATATGTTTTAATAAGTTATAAATAAGTATTTCCCATATATTGCCAATTACTTCATAGTTCAGTTTTCTACAACTTCATCTTAAATGTGACTCTGTACACACTCTGGTTTGTTCCAATCAGTTTAAACCACAACTGAAATATTAAGTCGGCGCAACAGAAAATCCACAGGCGAGACGTGAGCTGTCTTTTGAATTCATCTCAGGATCCCCGACAGTTAATGAATCTCTGTCTTTGCATTAATGAAGATATAGTACTGGCTAATTCAACACCAGACAAAATATGCTAACCTAGCGCAATATACATTGGAACTTAAAAAGGACCTAAACATTTTATAAACAAATGCGTATACAAATTAAAAAATTATTTAAACTACATATATCTAAAAAGCACCCAAAAAGTTGCTTTTATAAAGAAATAATAACATTGTCTTAAAATCGATTAAAAAGTTTATTTTCATATGCAAATCCTTTATCCTTGCATAAACTCAAATCTTATAGGACAACACATTTAATGTGAGTTTAAACATTTCTTGTCCAATAGAAAAATATCCAAGAGTCCACTGTCAAGGCATACGTAAGGATATTTTTAATTCTGTGTGCAATAATAAAGTAATTTGCTCTACGTTATCCTTTATGGTCATCAAGACAAGTAATCACTTTTAGATTCTGGGATGAACACAAAATTGAATCCATACGAAATTCAAGTTTAATTGGGACAATTTTGAATAAAATAATGCAAATTTGATACATGTTCGGTGAATAAGAAAATTTCATATTAAATTTATACATTTAAAATTAGTTTTCTCTATATAAATCTACATCAAATCAATGAGCAATTTTGACGCTTTTTAAAAAAAAAAAGGAATATTATAAGTTACCAGTTAGAATCTATACTCGTATTTAATCGTAATTTGCACTTACCACCATCACATGGAAAATTGTCTGCTAGTAGTGTAAACAATTTATCAGATAGCAGACACCTGCCTCTGGGTCCCAACGGCACTCGGCAGACAGGACATTTGACAGAACGACTGCGGCAATTATTGCACAGTACATGTCCATTGCAGCATTGCCAACCTGGTGGTTTGATGACCTATTTTTCAAAATAAAAAATTCAAATTTTTTTTGAATAAATTCTCAAACATGAAGCAAAATTCTATTAAAATTCAATAGTCAATAATTATAAGTACTATATGTGGCAAACAAATGTAAGAGGATATTCCAACATAAATTTTTACAGTAATAATCTAACGTTTCGATATGCACTTGCACTTCATGAGAGTGCAATTTATGCAGTAGTCGAGCTCTTATAACATGTGAAGTGTGTATCGTAAATGCATAAATAGAATTATTTCATTGTATATTTTAAATTTATAAAATATTTGAATTATTTCAAAACTTAAAAGGCTTTCACTTGAACTCAATTTATTTGATTTTACAAAATAATTTCGTAAAGTAAACATTTTTTATTAGTTTTATTAATATTGAATTTCCTGTCGAAATGTAAAGGCAACACAATATTTTTATTATTCAAATTTTGCTCTAATGAACATTTTTAAAATTTATTTGATTCTTTTTTAATAGGTCAGGAACGAAAGAGCAACACCCTATCGATCACAACATTCAGAATACAGACAATAACCTTCCACTAAATATAAGTTAAATCGAAACTAGAAGACGCTTATGTGGGATTAAATTAATGTACGTATGCATATGGATACTCACCTCTGATAAGTTCTACACAATACAAGTGATAAGCTTGCATGATAACCTTACTCTAACTGGTTTAATACAGTCAAAACCTTTTTGCGCGATATTCATTTATCAGTCTGCATCAGTATTCAAAACTGTCAAGAAAGCCTGAGTTAAGTTCGAATGCCTTCCCTCTCTCTCTCTTTCTCTCATTCTTCGTCTATCTCTCTTCCTCTCTTCCTTTCTCAATTTCACTCTCTCTCTCTATTCTTCACTTCTCTCTTTCCTCTCTCTCTTTCTCGCTCCCTTTTCTCTCTATCTCTCTCTGTCATACTCACTATTAAATATATTTAATTGATCATCAGAAACTAGTAATTAAAATTCTGTCGAAGCCAGAATTGGCTATGAAGATAAGTAGGGAAAAGTGAATCCTAGGAGTAAAATTATACATTGAAATCATTAATTTTTTGGCAGAGTTGTTGTAGCTCAATTGAGTTTTGTATTATAGTTTTATTTCCTTCTATTCTATCTATTCCTTAATCCCCTTCTGAATCCATACTACCTATCCGATATGTGCTCAATAGTATAACCGCTATGCTAATGTAATACTGAACAGTTAATAGCTCCTAATGCGCGGTGCAGCCTATCAATTTTGAGTGTCATTCAAGAGAGAAAATATAAGAATAATATTAAAAAATGATAGTCTGCACCTTTGAATGACACGCAACCAACATGTTGTTGTGTTCACCCAAATTTTGGTAAGCACATCACATGCTGAATGATGTCTTCATCCAAAAAATTGCATTCGTTATTCAAGAGCAATTTCCAAGTGGTTGCACTAACAAACTTACAGCGTACGAAACACACTTACAGCGTGCGTAAACACCCTTATTCTACAAAAATTTTGCTTAAATGACAACTCTTGAATGTGAGCAAGTCCAGGTTCCGTCACTAGAATAAATTTGAGCAACAGTGATATGTGAATGATAGTCTTAAAAATGATAGTCTGCAACGCGCTTAGTAAAGCATAGTAAACAATTCAGTGCTACCAACTTAAAAAAAATATTTTATAGCGAATTCTGAAATAATAAATTACATGTTAGTATAATTTCTTGTTCACTTTTTATATAAAATTTATGATATTTGTAAGGTATCCGAAAATATAATACAAAATAAATTTCATTTTAAATATTTAACCCATATTGCAAACTTTAAAACTTTGATTCAAATACTGTCAGTAGTTTCTGTAAGAAAGGATACCATCTAGAAATAATTAATTTTCTTTTCTTCTATTAAAAGTAACGAAACTGGCATTCTCATAGTTTGTGTCTAAACTGAAACATTTTATACAAAACAAGGCCTTAAAGGACAGCAACTCTTCTTTATCCTTATTGCAAAATATTTTAAAAATTCTTCACAAAATGAATTTATGCCATAATAGTTTATAACAATACCATTGAGAGGAGCCTTGTCAAATGCAAAATATGTACTAACAATTTGTAAAATTAAAATAACATGAGCATTGTTGAGGCAAAACATTTAAATAAATTTAATTAAAATGCAATAACGAGGAAAGGAACAAATTCTAAGGCAGATGAGATCAATTTAAAGAGAACTATAGTTGGTCATACACGCATTAATTTATGGAAAATTTAGCTATATAAGTATTGTATAATTAGAATATATATTTTTGCTTTATAATGAATTATATTAAATTATATACAAATTACGAAATTATTTTTAATTAAAATAAATTATTATATAGATTTGTTTAATTTAAACTAAATATTCTTTAAGTTATAAATTGTTTTTAAATTATATTTAATTAAAAAAAGACAATATACTCTTATAATATTAGATGCTGTTTTAGTATTATAACTTCAATATTATATATACATATTATATTAATAATAATAAAACTCCAGAAATATGTGCGAACATGCAAAGTTAAGTACGGCTTTCGGTCAATTGGTTAAGGTGCGCTGACTCTGAGCTTCAAATTTGTCAGGGCGTGAGTTCGATTCCTAGTAATTGCAGTCTTAGAAAGTTATAATCCAAGAATAATTAAATACAAGAATTATTTCCAAGACCACTGATGATGGGTATTTCGCAATACTCGAAACAGCTGTATGGTCAGCCAAAAATTCAATTAATTAAAATAATATAAAATGAATTTTTGTTGTTGTGGTTCACTACTGTTCGAAAAAACCTTTTTAAGAAATATACTAGTTTCTATTATATCTAATAGTCATTTCCGTCTGAAAAATTTGACGTTAAATTAAAACTTATATTCACAATATATATTATATACGAGGGTGGTTTGATAAGTTAGTGAATTACTCCAAATGCAACAATGCTTCCGTCAGCTGTAATCTACCAGTGGGTAACTTTTTAATTTTGAGCAAGTTACGTCGTTCAGTGGGTGTTTGATAGCCGTTCAAAGCAAACAACCTCGTGAATTTTTACGAAAATGGAAAAAAGTGAATTTCGCCGTTTCTTTAGGTTTGGAAACAGAAAATAATCGCAGGGGGCTAAATCTGGAGAATATGCTGGATGGGGTAGCAGTTAGTATACCAATTCGTGGATTTTGGACACAATACTTAATCAGCACACGAAATTCACTTCTTTCCATTTTCGTAAAAATTCACGAGGTTGTTTGCTTTGAACGGTTATCAAACACCCACTAAATGACGTAACTTGCTCAAAATTAAAAAGTTGCCCACTGGTAGAATACAGCTGACGGAAGCACTATTGCATTTGGAGCAACTGCGCGGTAAATTCAAATAGTCACTGACTTATCAAATCGCCCGCGTATATTCATATTATATATCAGTCATATACATGAGTATATCTCGGACATAGACATTTTAAGTTTTCCCTATAAAATCCATCGTTAAGGTACTATGCTTCCTTAATTGGTAGCGCACTCAAAAAATGATTGCATCCTTGTTGGCATCACGTATGCATTTGACTCGCATTTATGCTTTTAAAATTAATTCTATTATTTTTATTAAATCGAATCTGTTCTACTGATAATCTGCTCCGATATGAAAGTAATTGTTGTATATCAACTAAAATTCGATACTGAATAAGGAAATTGCACGCAAAGGCATTAAATTGATATTTTGTGCACGACATCAAATTTATTAGTAATTTTCAATATCAGTATTAAAACTTCTTTGGCAGGATAACTTGATAGACACATTTGTGTTTTGCGTTTGCTATGAAGGCTTTCGAGGATATAACTCAATAGTACAAAACTAACAGTATATACAAACTATATGTCTTTGTTACACCACAAGTATCCATAGGAAAATATATTTTATAAAGCACTACAACATAGAAAATTGCAATTTGAGTTGAGATTTCTCTTAATAAATTTCAAACAAATGAAGCAAACAAACAGACAAACTTCTGATTTCACCGATATGCAAAGGAACCCAAGCAAAATGGAAATTTAAATATTATCCCAAAATATCTTTATACCTACAGTGCATTTCTTACAAGATAGATGAATACACGGATGTATATATGAACATTTTTGATTATTATTTAATTGAGCATTAGATGCGAAAGGATATGCAAATGGATGCATGTATGCGTCATTGCATAATTGGGAATATTGCAGGATGCATACTAAGTTTTATTGTTTATTCCTAATATTTATGCACTTTAATGTACATATATTCTATTCAAATTAGTTTTTTTTTTAATATTCCTTCATTCGGATTATTTAGTTACATGCAAATATAAAGCAAATTAAATTCAAGATTAGCTGCGTAATTGTTGTTTATTGTTTATATATGGATGTATTAAATTTTATCGACAATGCCATTGTTCCAGATATAATTAATTAAAATAGTTGTTAGATTAATATATAAAACATATTTTATGGGTAATATTATTTTAATAAAATAAATATAAATAATAATTAATAAAATTAAATAATAAAAAAATTTTTACTAAAAGCTTTTTAGATTAAATATTTAACTAATACTTAAGAAGATTCTTTACGCATAAAAATCATGAGAAAAAAACTATAATCCAGACTTGCAATTGCTGGTGGTTGACGCCAGGCTGACTACTTATATATGTACGGATAAATAGGACCAACCACAAACTAACCCCTTTTTTAATTATATATATCTACTTTTCATAATCAAGTGACGAATTTAACATTAAGTTATCAATGATGAGACATACAAACCACTGTAGCAGTGCTGTTCAGCGCCCCATTGCAAATCGCTAAGAATTTCCGCCGGCACCAATATAGTTATGTATTAAGGATATAACTTCCTCCTCTGTATGATGCGAGATGTACCAAAACCTATACTGATCTGTAGGTCTCAGCACCTGGAGAAGCACAACATGAACCCTTTGGATCTCAAGTTAAAAACACGC